TAGGTACTCAAAAAGACCTTCAAAATGAGCACTTATAAAAGTTAATTAGACCAAAATTGAAGGAGTTATCGTCAAAAATAGAAGGGTTGCTCATATTTTTTAAGGAAAAATGAGCAGTAAACGCTGTACCATTTCCATCAGAATTAAAATTAATCGTAGACCCTTTACAATTAGTTTTATTTTAGTGTTTTTCATACGATCCTGAAGTTAGACCGGTTTAGAATGCATATTTTTTTAATAATGTACGGTAAAAGTTGAAAACGTATTTTTCATTATTCAAAAAAATTGCCTTATTTATATAATAACTCTGAAACTATGAAATATACGTAAAAATGATAGACAACAAAAAAGTAGCTTTTTTTTCAACAAATATTTTGTTTTTTTATTCCTATACCTATTCCTATCCATCCTATCCATTTTAGTGAAAAAGCAACCTGTCTCGAGCCCTTCGAGTCTTTCCCTTTAAAAAACGAAGGACTTAAAAGGTTTTATATGTGTACAGTTCTTGAAATTATCTTTAAAATGCTCTTGCTCTTTTGTAGGATACTATAGCTTCAAAATTAACAGTTATGGTAAAAAAACCAATGACATTTTTTCGGAGCAAAATAGGCTTTCTCATTTTTATATATAATTATATTATACAAATAAAATAAATAAAAAAAAATTAATGTGATTATATGCAGCGTAACTATTTTTTTTTATGATTGATTGTATTTGAAAATCGATTATAATAAAAATATTTTACATTAATATTGGTAAAAGGGTAGTTTATAAGAGTTGAAAATGACAAAAGTAAAATATTCTTTCATAAACAATATAAGGGAATTTTTATTTTAAATTATTGCACAATTATAGCATTCTAAGATTTAAAACGTAATTTTTTATCATTTTTTTAGCACCGGGATGATTTATAAGGGTTGAAAAGTGTTATGATATACAAATTCTTTCATAAGCAATGAAGGAATTTTTATTTTAATTAATTGCACCGTTAAAGCATTCCAAGCTTTTAAAAAGTAATTTTTTATAATTTTTGTCAATACAGGGGTGGTTTTTAGGGGTTTAAAGGGAAAAATTCTTTTATTAGTTATAAGGTAACACTTATTTTAAATAATTGCACGATTTAATCATTCCAAATCTTTAAAAAGTAATTTTTTATCATTATTTTTGTTCATAGGGGTAGTTTTTAAGGGTTAGGCGCTCGTCAGGGCTACCTTCATTTTTCATTTTGCTAATTATTTTATGCGGAGTCACGTGATTCATCCGATGCCGAACTCGAACACGGAGTGACTCCGGATTCAACATTACCGTATTGACATTCAAAGCTCCCATATTCTCGTAAGTGTTAAACCAATCTCACAAACATTTGCTGATATCGTCTTCTTGCAACAGCATCGTTTTCTCCTGACAAAACATAGGCTCTAACCAGGAACAGGATCGGATTCTGCTTAAATTTAAACTGTCCACGGTCTCTAGCTCAAACCGAACCGTTTAAAGTTATAATAAAAGTGTCTAAAATAAGAAACGTTTTTGTGGAAACGTCGTACAATCTCAATAAGGCGGATTAAACAAATTATTTCCCAAAAAGTTACGTACTAATTCTATTAAGTCAATCCGTCCGCTTTCTCCTCCACGGTCCAGGGAACGGAGTAGGCTTTGAAGTCCTCTGGTAACCCGGTTACCCTATTGATTAAAGGGTCCCCGAAAAATTACCTACCTGTTTGATGTAAATGACTTTCCCTGACGTATACCGGAAACCGGGGTCATCCGAGTATAAATCATTCCGTTCTGGGGGCGGTTCTAAATTGACGGGGACGGCGTTACACATTATTAAATACCTCTTTCGCGAAACGGGTCGAAGTTTAGTGTACTGGAGACGGTAAATGAGTCCTTAATTATATTGTCGGCGGAGGTTTCTATTACGGTGACACAATGGAGGCGCTTGTAGGGGCACGCCGCGAAATCCGGCACCGCGAGAGATTTTTTGAAGGAAACATTTACAGCCATGCAGATCTGGAATCGCCGCAGCTCCTATTATTGCGTTACTATATTTTATAATATAACTCTACAAGATATATGTAATAATTTTAATGGGAAAGTTTTTTCAGCATATTGTTTCAACATTATTTTCAATAAATTATCTTGCGAACATTTTCGAACCGATTGTAATGAAATTAGGTGTGTGTTTTATTATACTCTAAAGTTTTTTCTACCAAAATTAGAATGCCCTTGGAACAATTAAAACATTTTAAAAATATTATCCAAAAAACTTGATTATTCTGGCTTTTTTTCATCGCTTATTGCTATTTTGCAACGGTAATGAATTTAAACATTTTTAACTTACAGTATATTGCGACAAATTCTAAAACTTTTTCCGCACAAAACAGTTCGCGATCAAAAAGAGATGAAGATATTGTTCGCAGCACTTGAACACAAATATCAAAGTACAGGTCAAAGGAATCACTTTCCTACTTTTCCTTAACACCGCGCTGTATGTCCGTAAATCTTTCTGTTTATATCATTCTCAGAAGGCTGGATCGCTATTACGTTTGGAAATTCCAGGATTTATTTTAGGTGCGCATATTAATTTTAAACTTCCTCTGGTTGTTTACAAAATCAGAGACGTAGCGTGCTGGCGTGTAAACTATAAATACTCGACCGTTGGTAAACAATATACGCGCCCGATTATATTTTGCCGTTGCTCCGGGTCCTCTATTATTAATTTGATAAGACCAGGATATATTTACTGCCTGCTGCCCCGCACAAGTCCACCCAAAATTTTTCTTTGTAGGCACAGACACAAATAAGTTTGCATCTGAGTCAACTCCGCCCACAAATGCGCAGTCGAGTGAATTGGAGCAACTACTCTAGGCTATATTAAGTTTGCAAGACGATTTCGTGTTGTAGATTAACTTCTTCCGCAGTATCATTGATAACAAATAACAAATAGAAGAGGTCCAAGTACAGATCCTTGAGGAACTCCCGATGTTTGAAGGAAAGTATTAAAATAAAAACTATACCACTGTAAAGACCTGCGTTATTGAGTTTTTTTAACAGTGGTTGAGCCTATCAAAGGCTTCAGAGAAGGTTTTTAAGCCACCGTGTCCCCACTGGGACTTCTTCGTTCCGCTGACGAAAAGTTCTTGCGTTGTGTCCGCTGGTGTTTACACTTACACAACACTCTACTAGAGGTGTTGTTGTCGCGGATAATTGGGTGAATCCACTATTAATAGTCCTCAGGTCGCGTCGCCCGAGTTATTTCCAGCGCGCCCCCTAAAAATAGCGGTGTCTTAATATTTTTGGAATCACTTTTATTAAGTGTGATAACCGCTCTCGTTCCGTTGGTCGGCGTGGATTCGCCTGCAAATCCAGCGCTTTTGTTTTGAATGAAATCCAAATCACTTCTGGCTCGGGCCACACTGAAAAAAAAAAAATATTTGGATCATATGAGCAGATAGTTTTAAATGGAATTATTTGCTTTAAATGTTATTTTATTCTATTCAAATGTATATACTTTCCTCAAATTATGTGAAATATTTGCTGTAATCTATAATTTTTCTTAGAATTTATATTATTTGTAAATACAGGGTGTCCCTGAAAAGGATGGACAACGCTTGGACGAAAACAAGACTATTTAGCCTAACTTACCTATACACAAAAGTGCACGCCTACTGAGATCAAGCCTTCTAAATATAGAACAGATAATCTAGTTTTTTTCAAATAATTTGAAAACTGTTTTTCTTAGAAAATTCAAATTTGATACATATATTTTTTTATATAAGGGCAATGTAAATATAGAGAATTGTGAGAATACATATACAGGATGTCCCCTTTCTAGTGCCTGTGCGCCACTGGTTATCCCATAACATTTTTGTATGTATGCCAATGACGACATAATTTATATTTTTAAAAATAAGCACTATTTTAGAAGTTTTTTTTGCCTCTTACAAAATTTTGATATCGTTTATGGATTTCGAGTAAAATTGGCATTTTTTACACATTAAATAATATAAAATCAGTTTAAGATTCATAACAATAATTAAAAGGTAATAAATTAAACCCATATAATTATTTCATTTGGGGAGCGTTGAGGACCACAGTTTAAAATAACTTTAGTAAATACAGAAAACGAATATGGGAAAGAATACAACATGAAATTAATGTTATGAGAGGTAATGCACAATTATTGGATAATTTCTAATTTTCGAAGAACTAAAGTTTGCGTTTAAGAACAAAAAAGTAACTTTTAGCATTTACTGCAATATTATTTTAATGTGATTACAAATATCAGTTTATTAAAATGTTAATGCTGACTTTCTTACATTATTAGTTGATATTGTTTATTTAAAATATGTGTTGATTTTTATTTTATTGATTGATAAAACTAATACCAAAAATGTGAAGATATTTTTTTTAATGTGACGTTTTTTCATTATTATTCCCTGCTTTGAGGTTGCAGTTGTAAATTATTTTTTATAAATCAGAATTTTTGCCTATATTTAATGTATAAAAAATGCGAATTTTACTCGAAATCCATAAACGATTTCGAAATTTTGTAAGAGCAAAAATATCTTCTAAAATAGTGTTTATTTTTTAAAATATAAATTCTGTCGTCATTGGCATACACACAAAAAAGTTACGGGATAGCCAGTGGCGCACAGGCACTAGAAATAGAATATCCTGTATACGTATTCTCTCCAAATTCTATATTTACCTTGCCCTTATATAAAAAAATAAGTGTTCCAAATTTGTACATATTTTTTTATTTTTTAAAACGCCTTTTATCCCTTTAGAAGAATTTGAAGACATACGGGGCGTACCTTTTTTGTTTTCTCAAATTCCGGCGCGAAAACTGATAAAAGATCGGATTCTGCTTAAATTTAAACTGTTCACGGTTTCATTTTGTTGCCGTTTTATTTATTTTGGATTAATTTAATATGTCTAGTACTGGTTGTAAAAAAAATGTTATTACTACAGTTACTGAAAGTTTTTTTTTGTTGCAGAGGGGCATTCTCGGTAGTTAGAAGATGTGTTCAGAAGTCCACTGGTTTGGAATTCGCTGCAAAAATTATAAACACAAAAAAATTGTCAGCAAGAGGTAAGTGCTTCACCTGCCATATTGTTCCGAAAGGTTTGAATAATTTTTTAATGAAATCTCGTATAGATTATCTAAAGGAATTTTGAAAATTTTAGAATATTGTGAAATCTCATGAAATCTTTTGAAATATTCAGAAATCGTAGTTTATCATTACAAAAGATTCTTGAGCGAATATAAATAATTTCGTTTTTTCGAAATGTTGCGACATTTCAAAGGCATACTGTGTAGAATCCGCTGTTGCTTGATTGTACAATTACTTATGACACACCCAGTATAACCAGTATAGCCGACAGCCATCGTACTAATAGCCAAGACGCTCATTTTACATTTCGCTAATTAAACTGCCGTAATCAGCATAAAATTGGCTTTAAATCGCCCCGCTTTGTCTGGAATTCTATTGTTTCTTTAGGACCCCTTGTATGAACAACACATTTCAGACACTACAGCTGTGAAACGTTATAAACACCGTCTTGACTCGATCGAATCGTTAATAGAATAGGGGCCAAGGGCGCCGCACTAAAAATAACCCGATATAACGCCCTATATATGTAACCTTGCGACCTATAAATATTTCCTTACTATCCAGGTCGTCATATGACCATGCAGATGAGTTTGGATTGTTGTAGTTGTAGTGCCCTGGGTCTCGAGCCACGAGGAAAATCGATGGCTGCCGCTGGATTTGGCGGATGCGCATAAAATGCCGAAAAATATTTACAATTAAACGAAAATGACCTGTAAATTTTTTGCGCGGCAAGAAATTACTGTCGCACTAAACGCAAATATCTTTGTAATAAAATTTTTGTAATTTTTTTGTATATTTCTTCGTCGAGGGCGAAATCATAGTTCATTCTATTCGACGGGGCTATTTCTCGAGCAGGGACGAAATTAATTTACGGAAATTGCTAATACTATGTCGTGCATGTAATACTTTATAATAAGCCCGGTTGTTTTGCTCCCGTTAGATCTAACTTTCCGGAAAATTATGCAATTATTTTGCATATAGATTGTGTGTTCCAGTGAAGACTCGCTTCGGGTAAATTGTGACGAATCTCCGTGACTCTCGCGTGGATATCTTGATTAGTTCGGAATATATTAGAAATTGAGGGATATGAAACTTTTACCTGTTCCTTACTAGAGCAGAAACGCCATAGAGGTGTATTTGAATATGTAGATATTTGTTAAGTACCCAGAATTCTCTAGTGGGTTGTAAATTCGTAGGGAGGAACATACAGAGTGACGCATTTGAAAGCGGACCACCTTCATAACATTTTTATTTATGGTTTAACGGTTTTGACGAATTTTTTTTAAAATGTAGAGGGGGAAAGGTGTATTTTGGGGCCAAGCGGCGTCCAGTTCTTTTTTAAACTAAGGCCTACTATATCACATTCAGAGGCTGAAAAGTCCAGAATCCATATTAGCGATTTTTTTAGAAAAAATCGCCGTACGTCACTGGATTCGGCGCCGCCTGAAATGGATCTGTACCAAATTTCATGAAAAAATATTCAACATTAACGATTCCACGGCTAAATTACTGTCAAATTGTTTATTATGCATTAAGAAGCTTTTTATCTAGTAACCCATGCGATAACAAATCAATCACAACAAATATGTAATAACACATTTAATAGACGTCCTTATATCAAAATACAATGAAACAAACAGAAAAACAAACGAGAAATATAAAGCACAGACTGTCCAATATATTATTTTCAAGGGAATTTTGCTTTTTTAAGGGCAGGACTATGAATATTATCGTCATTTTCTTCGGATACGCTGTCGTTCGCTTCCACCACTTTTCGGCCGCGCCATGGCTCGTCGAAAAATCAAACGACCTTCTGACTTTTAACAATATTTCCTATGCACTGAACCTACTTCCACAAATAAAATATGACAGTATATTTTTTTGCCGCAACCAACCTAATTTGTTTAACAATAGGTCGTCAACTTAGACAGTCTGTAACTCTGTTGTTTTTCAACGAATCTTGACGATTTTTTTCTTTAACTTAGAGCTCTTTTCATAAGCTTTCCGAATATGTAAGAATATATAACTATATCACGCGCTGCGTCGTATATTCCATTTTGTAACTAAAGCTAAAAAATAAAAAACTTTCCAGATTGCTTTGAAATTTAAAAAAAATTCCAATGTATTATTATGAAATCTACCATGAAAAAAATCATTGCGGTTGTGGAAGATGCTCGGGATCGTCCAGACTAATAATTACTTAATTTGTTTATAAGGCCATAACTTATAAACTATTCAACTTACCGATTCCAGATTTCGTGTGAGTTATTAGACAATGATAAGGAATGAGAGGATGCGATGCCAAAACGTTCTGGTAATAATAACGCAGTTTATAAATGTTTAATTCAAAAGTCATAAATAAACTTCTTCTGTTTATAACTTTTGATCTAATCAATATATTTTGACGCTCGAGGGCTAGTTTTGTAGGTATTTCGAAGACAAAAAAAAAGTACATTACTGTTTTCTCGTAGAAATGGACGGAAAAAAGTTATAAGCGAAAAACGCGAATTTACGTAAAAATTATACAATTAACCACCCTGTAAACAATCTTCCCCCCCATTTTTATGACTGTGGAAACTAATATGTTATTGTACATAATATTTAGCATCTATAAATTCAGCTTGCCGAAACAAAAAATCGCATCCAGCTCTATATTTCGTGGCCTAAATAATAAACAATTTTCTAATGGCGATGCTAGTTTTTCTTGTCCTCCTTCCAAAACCCCGCTCCATCCTAAAAGTCACTTAGCCGAAAAAGGAGCGTGATCTACAAGGGAACTACGGGTTGTGAAACGAAGGGATATTGATCGAGACGAACTAGTCACCAAGCGGCGTCTTTACGGACCATGTTAAAAATAAAACCGTTTTTTATTTCGATCCTCTCGTTCGGGAGGCGACGGGGGGTGGGACACCTACGCGATATGGTCGCTTTTTTTGCCAAGGCCAAGGAAATGACGAAAATATGAATTCCGGACGTCCTTTTTCACTTGAAGATGAATTATTCATATACTTTTTTGCGGGGCAAAACGGATTTGAAGCTTAACGGAGAAATATCCGATGCCGGTATTCGTTTTGAAGAATTGTTCATCGTAAACGAATCATTGTGACTGATGCCGTTAATTTGACATTTGTGCATTTTTCAGTAGTGTCCGGCTATATATGTTATTGTCTGTTTGCTGCCATCATTTTATCGTTTTTTTTCGCTTCAATATTAAATCGTATTCATAAGAAACACCGAAATTTTCCTTACCAGGATTTGGTTAAAAAAACAGAGGGAACGCTGCGAAAACATCTACTTTTATTTTCTATCGACGTCCAACGTTGAGAACGGGCCAGACCGAGGTCTTTGTTCAGCTGCGGCCGGCGATTCCCTCCGACCGTTTTCCCGTCCGCTCTGATGTAGGTGGACGTCCACGACAAAGCCCTTCTTGTCCCTTAATTAAGAAATTTGTAGCCGCGTCCCAATCCAAAAATAATGGCGCCGCAACAGGTTGTGCACGCAGGACGCTTCCGTTCCATCCGAACTAAAACTCACGAAATGCCAAAAGTTTATCTTTGAAAACGACTCTGTTCAATTTGAAATATGTACGATTTAATGTTGAAGTGAAAGAAACAATAAAACGACGGCAGCAAGTGAACTCAAACAAAAACAGACACGGACCACGGACGCCACTGAAAAATGCACAAATGTCGATTTAATCTCATCTGTCACAATGATTCCTTTACAATAAACAGTAAGAAACTATTGCGTCTACACTCGAGGTAACCCCATCACTCACTGGTTCTCTTTAATTGCAAGAATAAAACCCACGGTTTGGATGACCAATTTATTTTCTTTTGTTCTACTGAATGGAAGACGAAAGACTATTTTTGCGTCTAAAGGTGTGCATTTTTTATGTATGTGTTTTATACGAGTAGCCCTACGCAATGGGTGTTCTTTATTACGGGAATAGGATTTAAAAAAATTTAAATTCTGATGAAAAATAAAACATAATTAAACTGTATTATTCAAATAACAATATTGTGCAAGATTTCGGCAAGAATATAGGCACATTTATTATGGAGGAAGAATCCCGTCAACGAACACTGTAAAAAATATTACTAGAAACCTTAGGTGGCCAGAAAACAGTCCCGATCTCAGTCCTTTAGACATATTTTTGTGGGAACACTTCAACAAAATATATTACTAAAGACCTCACAATTTACAAATATTGAAAGAAAAAATACAGGACGAATTGTTTCATAATTCTGAATTTGTCTTTAAAGCAATAAATAGTAAATTAACGCATATTTTCAACTGTATCATCACAATTACTTGCGTGTTGAAAATTTGTAAAAATTGTAGGTATTTTAATGTTATTTCGTTTTTAGGTATTCTCCTTATATTGTTGTAAAGGTTAGTTATAAAAATCGTTGTTTGTTATTTCATTAAAGGATGAATTTTAATTTTTTTAAAGATTTTTTTACTTTAAACATATATTTCGTGCCAGCAAATGTTGATGTCAAAAGAAATAAAGAAAAATTGGTCCATTTGTATTTAAAGTTTTTTTCTATCTTTAATTATCAAACCTTATAATAAGTGAATGTCAACATACAAAAGAAACCCTGTATCTATATTCCGCGACGTACTAATTACCCACCTATATTAAATAAATTTATCATCATCAAATATTAAAAAAATTATATTATATTACAAGCTGTTTAAAATATCATTACGAATTTTGTTTATTTGGAAATATATTTTCTGCACTATTTCAATACCAAAAAATTTAAAATAGCAGCTAATTAACGAAATTATGATTAAATAACCTAACTGCGACACCGTTGCAGAATATCACATGAAACTACATAGATATTCGTTGATTCTTTAAAACATATTTATCAATACCTACATCATACATTTAAGTAAATACAGTAACGCGAAAAACAGATATTGATAAAAAAAAAGAGTACAAAATAAATCCGTAAGTACGCCTGGCAACATTGCCAAAGTGTTTGTATGTTGCTAGGATACGCGTAGGAATGCGCGCCGCTGCATTTGATTCTTCCTAAAATTCTGCTGGTGGCAATTTGGAAATTTAAAACTCCTGGCATATTTTGTCTTTAGGAATGCGGATAGAAAGTTTTTAATAGCGGGAAATAGATTTTTTTTTATAGATCCTTGACTTCCTCTTTTATACCCTTTTTGCTCTTCGAGTCAGTATGTTATTTACAGAGGAAACAAAACATCCCTAGACCGAGCCCTGTTTGTTTTCGTCTCCAGACCGCTCACAGGTGGTCCGATCCAATCGATACAAAAACCACCAAAGAACGAGACTGCTTGTCTCCGGAGACCCGCAGGAAGTTACAGGACGACGGTATCGATTCCCGAACGTCTGCAGTCGTCATACAGGGTGATACCTAGCGATTATCCCTATTTCGGAAAACTTTATTAACAAAAGGAATTATACTGATATTCTATATTTCATAGTGAAAAGCCTTTATAAATAATTACAATCCGCGCAACTGTCAAGCATAGGCCATCAACTTAGCACACTAGACCTTCTTAGTAGTGACGTCACATACGCCAAATAATAGGCAACCCCGTAGTACACAGTGTCATGAAGAATTTCCCAATATTTTTACTAGATTGATTTTCGACCTTATGTATTTTGGACATAAGTGCCAAAAAAATGTGTCTTCTTTGTCAAGACCTTAAATATCGCGATATTCTGGCAATATTAGAAATATTTAAGAAGTTTCAAACTGACAAACTTCAGTGACTGACTAATAGAATTATAGAATTTATATATATATTTATAGAACAATATTGACTTTTATAGTCATTGATAAATTAAAATTATATCAATGTTACTGAGCATGCGCATTAAAGATAACAGAATACCATTCAAGGACGGTTTGGTTATTGTTAAGATTACGTCTATAATAAACCACTTGAAGAAAAAAACACTCGATAAACACACTGACACAGCACAACACCAAAAAAAAACAATAAAAATACTTAGTGGAACTAGAAAATGCCAAGATTAAACAAAACAAGAGATAATACGCTAATGATGACAGCGTATGAGGCTATTCTTTCCGAGCATGCGCGTTAGGAATAACACGGCTAATGTTAAATATTTACTTTATTTAAATTTAGGAATATTCTTTTGTAGCGTTTTTTATAAGTTTTAAGCATATAGCATAATAGTGTCTATTTTATGAAACACGTGTTGTTCTTAAATACGTCCAAATCCTTGTAAAAATAAATTAATTTGAAGTTGTACATTTTTATAGTATCTACGTAAATTGTACACAAGAGTCAGATTCGGTCTGTACAATTTGAACTATGACAGTTTGATACGGGTTTCCTAAATATGTGACGTCACCCTAATGAGTCTATTGGTACTATGGACTAAAAATAAGTGTGCACAATAAAACGAGTTCGGGAGCTGCCCGGTAACGGCGTAGACACTGGCACGAGTTTAACTGCAATCTATTACCTATATATTTTTTCATATATGTAGTTACTTTCGGTTTTAATAAGCAAACGTTTTTTATTTATTTTTTTCGGAAGCTTACAAGGCTTAGTCGCGACAGGCGTATGGGCTCCCGAACCACCGAGCTTTTATTTATTGCCAAACTTTTTATGCGTTCTTCCGCCCCGGTCGCGAAAATATAAAGGCAATAACCGTTACGGTTATATCAAAAAGTTTCAACAGGCCGTATGTGCGACGAGGAAAAACTTTTTAAATTAACCCCGCATGCATATTCGCGGAAACGAGAAAAAATCATGATTTAGGTAATTTGCCTCAAACTTTATATTTACAGGAAAAAATATGAGGATAATTAATAAAACGTTCCGTATTATTTCTTTGAGAACGAAACCTTAGCCAACAACTTGTCAAAAACAATTCGCAGTATGTAGAAAAAAAGACTCATATTTACCTTTCGAGTGCTTATACATATAGGCGAGGTAATTTTTTATTGAATAACATTTTCTTTTAGACTATAATGATATATTGCTCTGTATAACTACCTGTATTAAAGCAAGATAACAGTTTTGTCAATAAGAGAGTCGATAACGAGTGGATCTTGGAACAGATATTTGGAAAATAATGAAAATAAATTACTTAATCCATTATTCAATTAATTATATTAACTCGTGACATATTCCGATTGTACCAAAATTTTAGAAAATAATGAATAATATATAATTGATTTTTCAAAGAACTAAATATTCCTGCTAATTTCAAGCAAGATTTTTCTCTTAATGTAACAAAGAACACTACACATGTTTTCGAGACAAAATATATTCCAGTGTTTTTCAAAAAACTTCTATAAAGATTCTTTTAATGCATAAATGTATTTTTGTAAACTGAGTGATTTAACTTTAAATACAGAAACTGCAGGAACAAATTAATTGCCAAGAAATAAGTGCAGTTTGTTCTATATTTTTTTTTCCTTGGGGGGGCGCGTTATTCGAGATACAGGGTGTTAAAATACACAGCATGTCCTTGGCGTCAAGTAACTTTTAATAGGAAATAGGCAACACGTGGCTTATAATCATTTATGAAAACTATGTGTTTTGCGCTCTTCATTGTACGACTTACCTAACGATATATTTTTCTGTTTCAGATTTTCAGAAATTGGAGAGGGAGGCCAGGATCTGCAGGAAGCTCCAGCATCCAAATATAGGTGAGCACACACCGACAACCCCCAAAACACACAGTATATATTCCATACTTGCCATCAGCTTACTCAGCATTTTCTCTCAATCACGACGAATACCTACACCTACAAGACCATTGAATGCCAGTGCAAAGGCGAATTTTAATGTATTTTTTTTGTTTTTCATTGTAAATATAGTTAGCAATCCCGAGGTTCTCAAGCATTTAGGTAATCGTTCTTTCAGTCATTCCAACTTTTTCATTATTTATGTTTGTCATGTGCTACATACTGCATGCTCCATTTCTAGAATTGTGATTTTTTTCGTCCCTCTGCATCCGTGGACATTTGAGATTCTCTGAAACGAATATAGGCCTCGTTTGTCAAAAAATAGATGAATAAATTCCATAGAGTATAAGGCCAGACGGTTCAGCAAGTGACGTCACAGTAGGTATAGGTATAACACTGCTGTTTGTATTCATATTAAAACAAAACAAAATCGCAAGATGTTTTTTGTTTTTTTCCTGTTATGACCTTTTTGCAAACACTGCCTGCTTGTTTCAGAGAACCTTTGTTTCTTTTTAAAGTATTACCTCTATTTTTTTAAATATCAAATTGTTCATGTCCATGTTGTACAATTCAAAAATATGTACTTACCAACAAATCGATTACTTATAAAATGCGTAGAATCTTTGCTTTCGGCCTATTTAAGTATATTTTTTTTACTGCAATCAGTTTTGGCTTCGGCTTTGGACTATTGACTGGATAATTTAAAATGATGTGGATATTAACTGAAAATTTTCTCTAATTTAAAAACTTTTTCGGCAGTTGCACATCTATTCGAATTTTCAATCGATATACCCTCAGTGTTCCTGTCTTTCTAGTTTTTGCACGAAATAGATGTTTTTTTAAGATGTTATTAAACCATCGATTGGCAAGAAATGTATGTACCTACGCGTTAAAATTATTGCCAGCTCAATATTATTCTTTCGTTGTACTAAAAATACTAGCACCCTGTGATCTCTATAAAATCCACTATAGATGCAAATTAACTCATCGCGCTGTATATATCTCTCTCTCCGGCTGTCCAGTTATTTTATTCCTATACTGAAATCTGTCACGGTCGGTCGAGGTCTACATCCATCACGCAGCAAAGGAATTTCCCCCGGAATAGACTTTGAGGATTATACTCAGGGGATGGTATAAGTCCAGGCCAAGAGCGGTGTCTCTTCGAAGGAAAAGTAATTGGACGGAGGGGGCTAACTTCTGTTCCCCTTCGTAAGCGTTCAGGATCGGATTCTGCTTAAATTTAAACTGTTCACGGTTTAATTTTGTTGCTGTTTTGACTCTGCCCTTTTTTTTTCGACGGCTCCCGTTTAGCCGGCTAAACCTCCTTTTTCGATTTGGTATGAGGCAATTACCGAAGCGGACTTTATTTAATTAGAGATGGGACAATTCAATTAAAGATAACGGCGGCCAGGCATGCAATCCCCCGAAAGCCGGCGAGAAAGACACGTAGAAGTCGGATCGATAAGTTCGGACAGTAACCGGCGACCCCACGAATGAAAAAAAAAAGGGAGATCGATAGGGATTAATTTTAAATATTCATGGCAGTATCAGTGGGAGATGATCGTCACGTGACGGTGGTGAGTTGTTCACCACACCGAGAAAAGTGTTCGTTAGATACAACGAAACTGACAGTTTGACTGCAAATTATGTTTTATTGCGAGTATCAGATTTGAAGTATGTTATATGCTTTAGAAATCAGGTGGATAAACAGTTTATTTACTTATTTTTGTGTATTTCATTTATCGTTATTTATTTATTAATGTTTAAAGTAACGAAAAAAAAATCACTTCCTACGATACAACAAACTTTCAAACTTATGACAGGTGTTTCTAAAGGTCAAAGGTTTAAATAAGCCCATGATTCGAAATTACGCCCTGTATTAACTTTCTGTGCAGTCACCTCGTATCACCCGTCACAATGACCAACAAGTCGGCCGCAAAAAGCCTAAGTTTGCCTCCAGAGCGACGACTGCGGTAGGTCGGGGCGCGCGGCACTTTGACCCTTCCACAAAAGGGGAGGCCCTCCAGGATTAACCACCGAGATGCTTCCGATCAGGCCGGCCGATGCCCAGATTTACGACGACTTGCGGCTGTCGACCTATTCCACCCCTCCCTCCTTCAAGGGGTGAACTAAAGGACGTTGCCACGATTGTCCAAGTTCAATTTTCGTGATTTTTTAGATTAGCAACGGTCCAGTTTAAAGAGAATGACCAGCAAGATCGCCATATTTCATTCCCGTAGACTTAATTTCAAGGAGTTACATCCAATTTTGGCACTTTATTTAAATCATAAAAGTCACAAAATAGATTGTACGGAGTGATTCTAATTTGTCCCCCGAAATTGTAAGGAAGATAGTACATCAAAAAGTGGGGGTAGATACCTTTTTTCAAAAATGATAGTAAAAAGAAGATGGCGGAAGAAGTTTTTTTGCCATATTTTAAAAGTTATTATTATTCATTCCGAGAAAACTGTTTTTGTAAAAAGTACACTTATTTTATGATATACTATTTTAAAATATCCGTACACAAATGTCCGAAAATGTATTAATTCTGAGATAAGGCTTTCAAATTTTGTTATTACTTTATTATTTATTAAATCTGTAACAATGTTAAACTATCTGTCCGTAATTTTTCACGTTTTTTTAATTATTTCTTAGTGATGTGTTGTGTAAATTAATTAAAATCCTTTTGAAAATTTATATAACATTTACAATAAAATAAAAAAGTGCAATTATTGTGCTCAAAAAAAATGGCGTGCCTCCTGGGCACTGCCGCCCCGTTAATGAGTAATTTATGAAAACATTAACGGAAACGTAACTATTATTAGCTTGTAAACCTCCTGATAAGTGCCATAGAAACGTTGAATCCGCTGTAAAAATCGGATAACTGATTTTATCGCGAGATAATGGCAGGTAATCAAAAAGCTGTTCTTCACAAGTGGTCTTGGAGAATGTCAAGTTGGCTTTGGCCAGTCAGACTGGAAACATATTTTATCTGCTCCCACTATAGTAAATAGACGATTTCGAGTTATAAATGCATATTTTATGAACAAATCAATAGAAATATTTGATGAGCATTACATTTTATTAATTATTATGAATGAATATTATAGTAATTGAACAGTTATTACATATAGTAACATTTATAAAATCTGGATAATTATTCCCCTCGCATTTACTAATTGTCACATTTTTCTCAAAATTTCAGTCACCGAAAGCTCAATATTATCTCACTGATCCATTAAAAAGCATGATACTAGAACCAGAAGTTGAAGTGTCATTGTAAAGAATCCTGTCTGTTCATTTTTGTTACTTAGACTGTCGGCAACATAACTTTCTGCAATTATGGCTGATTTTCACCCACCACGTCTCTTGATTGCTAAAATATCACCTGTATTAGCCAGTAACGTTGCCGATGGTCTTCGGAATAAATGGCCTGTATATGTTTCAGGATGTTCTGGTTTCGAAAACTGTGCAATCTTTTTAGGAGTCATAGAAAGGGTATTATTGCCGACTGGTTGGTTGTAACATCTACCTTCTTGACAGCGCATAAAAAATCGTAAAATTTCAGTTTTTATTTCCAATCTAATCTTGATATATTTCTTTATTCATCTGATTTTTACATCATATGAGTCGTATGACATACTTGAAATTTGGTGATTAATCTTCGAGTACTGGTACCAGGAGGATCCTGTTCCATGACCAATCTTGCAAACTCTTTCTTATTCACTGACACAGAGATTCACAAATTAAATTAAAGGCTATCGTTCGATATCTAGCTCTCTTTCTAATACACGTATTAAAATGAGACGCAGATGCTATATCCCTTTGCACTCGGGACTTCCCCTTCTTATTTGACGATCAACGTATATTGCTTGTTTTTCTACCGATTGGACCCAAGTTTGGTGCAAAAAAAATGTGCAATAGACTTATATCTTCCACTTTTTTCGTATATTACAGAAATCTAGTACTGATACGCATGAAATAAAACTTTTTACTAAACCTACGGTTTCCTTTTTCGACGCCAGATTTAGATCGGACCGCCAGCACATATTTTTTCCTTCCAGAAAGGTCCGACGGCGCCCGCGTCGCGTCGGGGCGCTTCGCCGGCCAACTCGAACGGCTTGCCAGATTTGTCACATTCGCAGAGATTAACTGCCGGCTTCTAGATAAATGGGGGTGACCACCAACCTGCTACATCGCACCCTTCCCATCCCGTGATTCTGTAGCTCTTAAAGAAAAACCAATTCCCAACTATGTATTTTTTTAATTGTCAGTTTATGACGTGTATGTACCTCTCGTTTATACGATGACGTCACTTGAGTTGAGAGTAACATTGACGAAATCGACTTTCTGTCGATTTTTGAATAATTCAGGCCTGTCACAGCCTAAGCATCTTTACATCATTCATTATGTGGTGCAAAACAGATATTGCTTCTTCAAATTTAACACAAGAAGTGAGGTTAGATTCACGTTTAGACTGTACATTCTTAAACGGACTTACCTGATGGTTATCCTGGTGTCAATATATTACAAATTTGACGTTTGCCATGTGACGTCACGCGGAGACAGGACGGATATTTTTAAACAATCGTATTTGTGTTGGTTTATGTCTAATTGTGAATACAAATTTTTGCACTCTATATTATGTATTGTAATTGAGTTGCATGATGGTATCTCTTTCTATGGTGCTTTGCAAGTCATCCAATTATTTAATTTAGTTCATGTTAATGCTCTGATAAATGTTTTTTTTTTCTCTATAGTCATATCACTTTTATTTTGTTTTATGTTATCCTTGTTTCTGCTACATTCGTCACATTCAAACAGTTCAGTAATGTGTAACAAAAACATTAGAAATACTATTTAAATCAAACATTAAATTCTTACCATTTTATTAATTCTATTATACTCTGTTTCATTTTGATAAGCACCTACATACGTCGTGGAAATAAATTGTAGGAAAGGCGTGTTCAATGTGTTAGTTTTGCAATTTGACAGCAGCAATTGCATTATTATACAGGGTGATTCACAAATGGTGACCAAAAATGAAACCTAGTATTCTTTGGTGGATTTTAAGAGGAGCCTTTCCTGTAAAGTTTTTATCTAGAATGCTTCAAACTTCAAAAAATATTTTTAATTTTTTTAAATAATTTAAAAACTAGTAAATGAAATCATTTGAAATTGGGCATATATATTTATGTAAACATTGTCCAAAATCTAAGGGCTTTTCCTAAAATTTACATGCTCCAGTGGCGGAGGGACATGCAGGGTATCGGTAGCATATTTTTCTAAATAATATACTACGCCACTGCTTTACGGTAACAACCATGATATTTTTGGATTCGTCTTTCAATTTTTTTAGAAATTACTACTCTCTTACGTTTTTCGAAAAAAGCCTGATTTTCGAGTAGAACTTAAAAATCGAAATCTATTTGTTTTTGACTGCTTGACATTTCATTTATTAACGGACATATCTCAATCTAGATGTCATTATCTTAAATTGTTACTTTTTCTTCGAAGGGAATATAATTCAACTTTTGATTTGTCAGAACCATTCAAATAAAGTAAAACGTTTAAAAAGTTTTTTATAATGTAGATAAGCTGAGGAACGAACGCTTTTCAATCTAACATGTACCAATAAAGGAAATTATGTATCGTTAACGCACGCACACGAGACTCAATAGACTCGCGGTTTCCCAACAACGTTTTAATTCCATATAATTTTCCTTTACAAACCGCCGCCACACAATGCCTTCAACTACTACCACACACCGTGACATAATATATGTGTTATTTAAACTCTATTGCATGTCTTACGTTTGCAATTCCCTCGCTGTGATTGATTGTATGTTTTTTTTATTTTCCAGTGAGGTTGCACGACAGCATACAGGAGGAGAACTTCCACTATTTGGTATTCGATTTGTAAGTATCACACTTATCACTTCTTATAATGCGAATTTTAATACGTAAAAATACACCAGTCACGAAAATTAAGGTATAAATAAAATCCTTAATTTTTAGGTGATCTTCAAAAGACTAATTCAAGTTCAAACCGCTCTGATTTTTCTTTCATTGTGAACCGAAGGATTGAAATTGTCACTTTTGCTAAAAATCAAAGTATAAATTTTGCATCTTTTATTCATTTTTTAAATTGGAAATGTTTTTTTCTAAAAAAACTCATCAAAAAATGTCAAATATCGAAAAAAATCGAAATTGATTTTCATAATAGAATCTACTGGCCCATTCTGAGCACCCTGTATATGTACATTGCACGAATCTGACGTCGTCTTCTCGAAATCTGCCTTCTAAAGTCAGCTTCAGGCAATGCGGTTTCTTGCCGGATATCTGCCAAACGTAAACAAATGCCATATCGTGTGGATGGTGCATATCGGTACATACGAAAATATGTAGGCACTTGCCAAATCGCAGCTCAGAGGCATACCAACAAAAGGTACGCGGCAAAGAGCATCTGTCAAAGCTATTACAGAAGTTGTCAGGATAAATGAGGGAGAGGGGCCTTCGGGCTGAATTTTTGGGTACGTACTCTAACGATGATAATTTTCTATGAATAAATCAGATTGTCTTGCCAATCAAAAATCTGTTTTTTTTAATTGGCGCAGCATATACAGGTGTTTTGAAAGTAGCTGCCATGAATTCAAAGATTGACATAATATAATAAATGAATCATGAGTCTTTTGATTTTTAAATCCAATTTTTTAGAAAACATTGCATTGAAATATGATACAACTAAATTTTTGAGGGTAATAAACACATGAATATTATTAATTATTACTAGTTTTCGACTACTTTTGAGGTTAGGTGTACCATATGTTCATGTAAAATTGGACTTTATACAAAAGAAAATATCTGCTTTTGTTGAATGATTTTTTATAATAAAATTTTAGCTTTTACCAAAAACCAATAGATTTCAATGGAATTTGGTATAAACCAAGATATTGAGGGTGAAACTACGTTTTTAATTTTTGTCAATCTACTATCTCTCAGTGACAATTATATGATATAACTTTTTTTGAGATTAGGTTATTTACATTGTATTTTTTGTACAACAGTGTAAAATTTTATTGTGCACAAAATAACGTTAAATCGAAAACGTACCATTCACTGACACGAGACATTCACTGTAACAACCTAACCTCAAAAAAGTTATGTCACGTTACTGGGAGAGATACTAGCTTACGCCCTCTATCAGATGATCAAAAACTAACAATACTATCGTATTAAATACGTTCAAAAAACTGTTTCGGTAAGCATATGGCCAAAAAATGATTTTATAAAATTATATTTGAGCTAGTCTCATAAATTACTCATTTTGGCAACATCCTGTATCTAGTAAACGAGTTGATTTAAGGGATAAGTTACATAAAATACCCAGTCTAGTCAAAAAGAAGATAAAGAAAACAAATGGCTATTATTTTTATCAGGGTCGACCAGTCCACAATCTGGCACGCTATATGATATTAGTACATTGAACTTTTCATCGCATTTACATATTTGTCTTTAATAATTCCAAATATGCAATTACAGCGCGATAGTCGTACAAAGTTTTTAGTAATTTTTGGATTATCTAACCACATTCAGTATGAATTTTTCAACATCACAGTTCCCTGCACTGATTACGTCAGTTTGACGTACTATTAAGACCTTCCATAGTAGGCGCTGACATTGTTCCATTACCACGCCACCTATAAGAACAAGGCCTCGCTTGTGACGCTCTTTTGTTTGGTGACGTTATTAGGTACTACTTGCAGTTTGCAGTTAGCCTCTAAACTATGACAAAAGTGGACTGTTCCGAGATTAATTACGTCGTAAAACGTAACTTTAAATAATTTTACATGTAATTGCTGTATGTAATATCTGTTTATTTTAAAAGCTCGCGTGATGTCAGTGATTAAATCAGGTTGACGTTTGAAGTTAGGCAGACGTTTTTGTTGTGTGGTGCCGGTGCATTTCGATAAAAAGCGTGCTTACTTTGAATGATGGTTTTTCATAAGAAGAAATACCTAATTGGGTACGACAAAGGGCTCAGTTCACGACTGGAAACAGGAAGCCTTATAAAAAGTATATTTCAAACAGATATATTAAATGTACTGTAAATTATTATGCTTATCATATTCTAACTACGGCAAAATCGCAATATCATGTCGGTCTTATCGCACTAACCACCGACGTGACGTCACGCTCTCAGCCAGGAGGCCTTGTTAATCCAGGTGAGAATGTTTGCGTTGAGGTTTGCTGAACATTTTCTTAACGATTTCTCTGATGTTCGGTTACACACAATTATATTAGGGAATCCCTTTTTATCCGCTAACGATATCGACAATTTGTACACTTGTGCCAAAATTCCCAACAGTACAGGACCCCACCTGTACTAGTAACCCGTTTTGTGAAATTACATCCATTAGGGATTTAGTTATAGGAGCGCAGTCCAGGGGGAGCACAAGTCGCGATCAACTGCGTCAACCCGTTTTATCAGATTAAGGGCGGCCCTTTGATCCCGAGGCCTGATCGACCTCCGTGATAGGCAAATCTGAAAATTGTCTATAAACAGAGGGCGATCTGCAGCAATGGTACTTTGACTTCGGTGTACTCTAAAATCGAGCAGGCTTTTATCGATTCGAATTATTTTTGAGGGTCTTTGCTGTGGATACAGAATGTGATGTGAAAGGAGTTGCAATGTGCGGGAAACCCAAAAATAAGTGAAAAGTTATAGTCTTTTATTTATTTCAAAGTTGAAATAGTTGCTTATGTGTTGTATTTATTATCTTTTATTTAATTTTGTCTTGTCTGGGATATCTCTATTTTCGAAAATATACCCACCGATACCCTGTGTCTCCGCCACTGGAGCATGTAAATTTTAGGAAAAGCCCTCAGATTTTGGACAATATTTACACAAATACATGTGTCCAATTTCAAATTATTTCACTTTCTAGTCTGTAAATTATTTAAAGAAATTTAAAATATTTTTTAAAGATTAACGCCCTGTATCTTTTTAACGAAGCGTTCTAGATAAAAACTTTATAGGAAACACTTCCCTTAAAATTCACCAAAGAATACGAGGTTTCATTTTTGGTCATCATTTGTGAATCGCCCTGTACAATATAAACATTTGGGTGGCCCAAAAAAAAAGTATAATTTTTTTTCGTGTCTCTTGTGAAAATATGTTAGTTTACATGTTTTAAGAGCCCCCTCAAAAAATCAGCTCAAACAAATTTTTTTTAGAAGTCGCTCAAGGTTTTTAAAAATTTCCAAAATCGTCAAAAATTGAATTTTTTTTTTAATTTTTTTTCTCGATATTTTATCATTTTCTAGGTTGAAAAAAATCTCGATTCTGAAAATTTCAAATCGATATTTTAATTTCTAAAAGTCATTCATAATTATTTTAATTTTAAAAGTAGTGGCCCAAAAAAACTATTATTTTTTTTTCGTGTCTTGTGAAAATATGTTAGTTTATCATGTTTTAAGAGCCCCCTCAATAAATCAGCTCAAAATTTTTTTTTTAAAAGTCGCTCAAGATTTTTAAAAATTTCCAATATCGTCAAAAATTGAATTTTTTTTCAAATTTTTTTTCACGTTATTTTATCATTTTCTAGGTTGAAAAAATTCTCGATTCTGAAAATTTCAAATCGATATTTTAATTTCTAAAAGTCATTCATAATTATTTTAATTTTCAAAGTAGTGGCCCAAAAAAAAAACTATTATTTTCTTTCGTGTCTCTTGTGAAAATATGTTAGTTTATCATGTTTTAAGAGCCCCCTCAAAAAACCAGCTCAAAAAAAATTTTTTAGAGATCGTTCAAGATTTTTCAAAATTTCCAAATTTCCAAATTGAATTTTTTTCCATTTTGTTGAGCTGATTTTTTGAGGGGACTCCTAAAACATGATAAACTAACATATTTTCGCAAGAGACATGAAAAAAAATAATCGTTTTTTTTGTGCCACTCTAATAAACATGTATAAAATTTGTACAGTTGAATTGAATTAAATATGCGTCCTTGTCACCTCATCGCAGTAAAAATCGTACGGTCGTTTGATTTTCCGTTAAAATTTGTATCTACAACATCTCGTGAGAATCGAAACGACCCCATCTCCCGTTTTATTCAGTTTTATAAATCCAATCGTAATCCTTTGTACACGCCCAATTTGTAAGAATTCATATCCCCCTCATTTCCGGTATTTTAAATGATTTACTGCTCGAATTTCGCCGAATAAATCTGGAAAACCAATTATACCCCGGTTGGACTTCCTAATATTACGAAACGGTTTTCCCTTCTCGCCCTATTCGCTCTTATTGAGCCCTATGGGAAATAGAGAGAAAGGGGAATACGTTTTACAGTCTTCCGGCCAGACGAAGTTTGCATAATGCAGATGCATTACCTTCGACATCGCCTAAGTATTTCTGGTAGGAGCGTTTATATACTGCGTGTTCCGTCGAAATGTACCGCACTTTGCAACTCGAAAACTACAAAAAAGTTTAGAACAAAGAAGTATATTTTAATTTTTTTGACCTTTTACCTTAGACCATTTGTAAAAAACATAACTTTCCAATTTTCCAATAATATTTATGGTTATTTGCTTCGTGTTTATAACGTCGAAAAAAAAACATCTCAATCTGGGAAATGAGCTGCCCATACAGTTAATCCATGTAGAAGTGTTAATTTTTCTACAATAGTCGTTTCAGATATTCAATAATGATCAAAACATGATCTTTAATCTTTTTTGTCATGAAAACTATGTAGGGCGGCTTCGCCCTGTATACGGCACCGAATCCACATCCTGATTTTCCGTTTCATTTGCTATATATTTAATGTATCACCAAGCAAATCGATTCAGGCCTATTTTTAGAAGACGTGGGTGTGCAATCTTTAGAAAAATTGTAATTTTGGTAATGTGATCGCTGACGCGTATTTCTGTTTTGACAATTCGGACATACACGTAGGAAAGCCACCGCAATAAGATTAATGAATGATGATGACTCTTCTACTAAAAAAAAGAGTAATTTTCTTAATTAACAAAGCGCGAGGTAACACGTAAACTTGGATTTTTTTCGGACCTCTTCCATTAAAGTTAATATTTAATATTCGCCCGCTATTTTTGGCCGATGAAAAAGTCTATACAGGGTGTAAGGAGTTTGACTGCCATTACTTCAACATGAGATGGAGGAATCATAAATGAACAAAAAAGTTGTATATTATAGGGTTTTTTTTTAATACTTCAAGAAAGAGTAAAGCTTCACAAAATTGTATTCAGTAATACCTAAATTTACTCCTTACCATTTCATACTAATAATTTGGCATTTTACTTACCAGTGTCGTAGATGTGGGCGGACGAACCCCTTTCAAAAAGTGTATATTCTCTTCCTTGAAACATGTGTAACATACTTGATTAAAACTATCCATTTATTAAAAAAATCTCTTGTCACATTTTCGAATTTTCTTAAATTTTAGAGTAGTTGCCTAATGACGATTAAACAATGTATTTGTTTTTCAACACGCAAAAGAACTAAATGTGGATGAGATTGATAAACAACAGTAATAGCAAATAAAAAAGTCAAACAAACAAACGTATATAGTCCAATATTGTTATTAACACGAGTAAATTTTTAAAAAATAATAAAAAACTCAATCTGAAACATAACAAAACCACTAGCAAAACCAAATAATGTATCCGAGTATATACCAAAAACTTTTGACAATGAAATACGTCGGAATGTGTTTTGAAGATCTATTCTTGATTAAAATAGGTCCTTTTCCAAAAACCTTGCCCGTTTCTTTTACGGTTTTGTTAGCTATGTACTTTGTGTAAACGCGCCAAATTATGCATGTTTCTGTTACAGAGTAACGGGAGGTGAATTGTTCGAGGACATTGTAGCAAGGGAATTCTATTCAGAAGCGGACGCTTCTCACTGTATACAACAAATTTTAGAATCAGTCAATCACTGTCACCAAAATGGCGTGGTACACAGAGATCTCAAGGTAAGAGCGATTTTTTATATTTTTCGTTTATACCCGTAGAGTTCTCCTGATAAAAAGTAGGTTTTAACCCTATCAACTTGCACTGCACAGGAGACTAGCCGCCGTTGCCCTTTGAAAGCTTTCGGAACAGGATCGGATTCTGCTTAAATTTATACTGCTCACGGTTTCTGTATCTCAGACGGCTGTTTTTCAACAATAATGCTGTACACAAGAGACGATAAAGTGTATATAGAAATTGGTACACCGAACAAAGTACTTGTTTCATCGAATTGATTTATATCTCTACAAATATATTTTATTTATCGTAGAAAAACAGCTAAATTGAAGAAAATAACAGTTTCCAATATCCAGGTACTGAGGCATTTTTCCCCGAACGCCAAATAGCGAGTGCCTCTCGCCATTACGTCTAACGAGAAAATTTCGTACATTCGTTTCTCTCAATGGCCGATAAATAATATTTCTAATAAAAACGGGAATTCCCCAGACACGAGAAAATCCTCTACAGCCAGTTTAATCGAATAAGTTTCCAACTCGGGATCGGGCCGAGATTTTTCCTCTGCCGACATGTCTGGAATGTCGAGGAATATCTTGATTGCGCCGTTTTCTCGTCCCCCGGGTTCATATTTTTTTCCGTTCAAGTCGGGAATGTAAATAAAACGGAACCAGCAAAATACAGTCTCTTCTCGACTTCAGCCAGTACAGAACAATAGAATCAATTTATATTTTGTATATTTTGTCATACAAAACACCAAAATTTGTCTCGTAGCATCTACACTGCCCTTAAAACATACTTATTTATTGTTAAAAGATTTAAGATTTTTAAGAATAAAAAGCATTTTAATTTATTGCAAAATTGTCAAAATTAAAAAATATTAATAAAAATAATGCGGTCGATAAAATTACAATTTTAACTTCTTGAAAAGCGGTGAATTTGATTCCATATCAAAATTAATTCAAAAAATATTAATCACAACCATTTTCAATGATAGATATATATATAATCGTAGAGGGTACTTTTTTTAAATTTGTATTTTTTTGCCAGCTATCCATTGAATCTTATTTTCGGTGAGGTAGCATAACAACAATTTTATTCAAATTGTTTATAAGCGAAAANTATTTTTATGAGAAATAACAATTTGAAAATAATTTGTGAATTTTTACTTTAATTTTACATTTAATCGCAATTAAATAGCTAACACAATATTGAAAAAATAAGTACTTTGGCTTAATATGTAAAAAAATTTTTTTTTTTAATGAAAAATAGCCTCATTTATTTATTTAATAATAGTAAAATAATTCTGAAATTGAAATGTTAATTAATATTTCATTTAACAATAATTTTTGTGACATTTTTTGTAAATTAAAAAAAAAAATAAGTTTAAAAGATGCATTTTTTCTGGGGTTCAGGGCTGTTCTACGAATTCGTAAATATGCCCATTGTTACTTTTTCGTCGAACTACCCCAGTTTAAAAAAAAAGTTTGTACGGTGAATAGAAGCCGAGATATTGCAAAATTGTACAGCGCGCATCAATTTGAACTATTTCCATATTTTTCAATGCAATTCACGGGAAATCGTACTTTACGTCGTAAACTTTATTTTGCGAAGAAATCAAGTCTTAATGTTTATAAACAATTGCACTAAGATTTAAAAAAAATTCTTATCTTGGCTCCTGTTGGTCGTAGAGGGTACTTTTTTTTTAATTTGTATTTTTTTTTGCCAGCTATCCATTGAATCTATTTTCGGTGAGGTAGCATAAATAGCAACAATTTTATTCAAATTGTTTNTCTGGCTAGCAAACAGAAGGGAGCGGCGGTAAAACTGGCGGACTTCGGTCTGGCCATCGAGGTGCAGGGCGAGCAGCAGGCGTGGTTCGGGTTCGCGGGCACGCCCGGCTACCTCTCCCCCGAGGTGTTGAAGAAGGAGCCCTACGGCAAGCCGGTGGACATCTGGGCATGCGGCGTCATCCTCTACATCCTGTTGGTGGGCTACCCGCCCTTCTGGGATGAGGACCAGCACCGGCTGTACGCGCAGATCAAGGCGGGAGCTTACGACGTGAGTATCATCAAAAGACATCCAGAACTGCGACAGAACATCGTAACGTAACTTCGTCGCGTAACAATTTACCATCCACGATGGGGGATGATCCTTACATCGACTCGTGTCGCTTCGGGGAATGTTCCGAATGTTCTGCCCTTCGGTAATGAGTTATTTCCTGCGTCATAGAAGCGCAACATTGGAACGGGGTGATGTTGCGATGTTACGTTACTGTTACGAGACCATGTTACGCAACGGTGTTGCGTTACGACGTTCTGTTGCATGCTGTTACAATTTTTTTCTATGAAGTTTAATACTGTCGCCGTATTTTAAATTTTTCTCGAAGTTGTTAAATTTTTTTGTCAAATATAATACCAGGATCTTAAAAATATTACAGCCGTTAAGTCAAGTTTCTGTTAATATCTCGTTTCGGTCGTGATGTTGATCGATTTTTTGTGCGTGTCTACCTGACATAATTTATGGAAATATGCACCGCCGTTTGTACTGCGACAATCAACTGCAGTGACAACTGTTACAAAGCATTTTGCATAATCCGATACGGCGCGGTAAATTACAGAAGTTGGTGCCGTTTGAAGAAATGCCTATTATTAAAAAGCAACTAAGTAACACACTAACGAATCTACTTTTTTCTCTCGCAGAATAAAAAGTAAGGTGTATTGTAATGTTTTTATTTTTCACGAGGAGTATGGGGTTAATTTGGACCGTAGGAAATGAATGTGTTGTTCTAAAGAGAAATAATATGACGTGTAGTCCAGAGAACGCAAAGAAAAATAGGGTAAAACCTCCGAATATTTTCGGATAGATCCGATTTGTATGAAAATTTGGAATTGAGCTTATTTCAGCCTGTACATGAAAAGTTATATATTCTTGATATGCGCTTCTATTTTTAGGGGATGAAAACCACCCTTTGTGCTAAAAAATTGAATAAATGTAAAAATAGGTGTTAAATAGATTAAAATCATATCTTAATATATAGAATAAATATTGTTTTATATTGTGGGTTATAATTTACGTTATTTTGATAAAGTTTCAACCCTTAAAAAACTACCCCTAATAACAAAATATTAAAAGCCTTTTTAATAGTTTGAAATGATTTGATAGTACAAACAGGATAAATTACATTCTTTTACCTATTTATAATACAATTTATAATTTATCCCATTGTTTTAACCCATACTCCCCCTCGCCCCCCCCCCATGACAAATTAAAATATAAAAAATGGCTTTAAAATTATTTTAAATTAATTTTTTTCCGTCAAAACTTTCTTTCTCGCGATTTACTTTATGCAATATTCAAAATAATTATGTCTCAATATTTTTTTAAACTGAAAATCATAATTTCAAATTTTCAAACATTGATATGCTCCGAAAATTGAAGCAGTAAGGTACCGTTGGTTTTTTTAACGATAACTTCCTTAATTTTAATGCTATTAAGACGATCCAAAAATGATTTTAAGGAAAATTTTGACAGCTAAAAGTACTATAAAATTGAATATTTTTTAACGCGTTATTTTTGAGATTTTTGAGGTTAAAGGGTTTGAAAAGCAAACTTCTAGAAGCGACATCTCTGTTAATTTGTATACTACACAAATAAAAAAAAAACAAAATATTCTGTGAAAAAAAACTAAACTTTTGAACTTCTGAATATTTTTCATTTCTTTTTGATTTTTAGTTATTTTAAAAAATGTTATTTTTTTGGAATTAAAAAAATTTTTTCAATCGAAACGTAATATTTTCAAAAATATACGTTCTAAACCGCTTAAACTTATATAATATATTGTTAGCACATGTAAATTGTAGAAGGATTACCTTTAATTTTAAATCTCGTGAAAAATTCATTAGTTTTAGTACTGATTTTTTTTTCCGAAAAAGCGATTTAACAGTTTTATTGTGATCGTAACTCTGTTAATTTTTATGCTAATGACGTAAAGTCAAGTTCATTTTAAAGATTTTTAAAGTACTTTAAAAAATGTTCTATGCATTTTTCTTGGAAAATATATTTTTTTTAGTTATTTTACGTTAAACGCTTCCAATTTAGTTTCTTGCGGACATGAATTATCTTCAACCAGCCGTATCTCAGCAACTATTGCACCTGCATAAATGAAAAAAAAACTCAATCTTTTTCTTTTTCTTCATTTTCTTCGTTATATTTTTTTTCAGAGAATGTCTATTTTCCAGATTATTCGAGAAAAGCTACTGAAAAACGTCTTTTTAACAAAAAATGTACATTTTCAATCACCAATAACTCCATAAGATACCTAGTTTTTGCTTAAAATTTATTGCTTTATCGATTCCTGGGGTTATTTTCAATATTTTATTTTTCACCCCCCAGAAGGAGTGGCTTCCACCCCCTGGACAAAGGCGCTCATCGGCACTATATAACTTTTGTTTCTTGAGCTATTTTCTACTTACAGTCCATGTTTCTACAATACAGGCGAAAAAAATATTGATTAAACCACCACAAACAACAATAGGTACAGTGCGCGAAATAAAAGGAAATTAGGCGGAGTCGAGCGTCGCCTGAAACTTTTTGAACATCTAAACTATACTCAAGTGACTCATATCAATTGACCTATTTAAAGTGCCTATATTGACCTTTTGTCGAGTACTATCTTGTTTATAGAGTACGTTCATAAATGATTGTAAGCCACGCGATCGCTGAGCTTAGACAACCAACATTGCACAATTGGTACGGTCAACTAAAGATCCCTAAATCCTACAGTCGTCGATATTAATGATTCGCTTACAATGATCAATGACAAACCGTTGTGAAATGGAATGTCCTGATATATGACAAAAAAAAATAAAGTTAGGTTAGCAGGCTAACTTAATAATTCCCCCACTTACGCTATCCGGTTGCAGGCAGCCTTTGCGCAGATAAATTGCAACCCCTGTTCCATCTATCTGTTCCAATATCTCCGTTCAACATCTAGAAATAGAAAAATTAAAATATATTGGAATAGAAAACGCTACTGTAGTCGTGTTTTTATGCAGTGACGTTCTTTTGTTTAGTATCCCAGCCCGGAATGGGACACCGTCACGCCGGAAGCGAAGAACCTCATCAACCAAATGCTGACGGTCAATCCGGGAAAGCGGATAACTGCCGCGGAAGCCCTCAAACATCCATGGATATGCGTGAGTATTCCTGTGCTCCGATGAAGAAGGTTCTAGATTACGAGACTTTAATTTTCAGCAAAGGGAACGCGTTGCGTCCGTCGTCCACAGGCAGGAGACGGTGGACTGCCTCAAAAAATTCAACGCAAGGCGCAAACTCAAGGTAACCACTTCCACCTTTCCGAATTCGATCCGCTAACAGCCTTTGATTCCAGGGTGCTATCCTTACCACTATGTTGGCTACCCGTAATTTTTCAAGTAAGTTTCACTCGGTGAAGAAATAAGCCGTCTTATAACATGTCCAATAATTATTAACCCTTATTCTGGACGGTGTATCCCTTACAGAATTAAAAGGCTTCAGTTCCAGTTCAATTTTAACCGATCTTTTGAATTGCAGACCGCATTTCAGTGAAACTTTTACAGTACGGCAACCATAACCTTCAAATTGTACGAAATTTTTTTTGTAAGAGATACGCCGTATGTACAACGTAAACTGGAAGCGACTAGTTCCCCCTGAATTTTTGTCAACCACTTTAAGTCATGCGGCACTAGCGAACTTCAAGGTACACTTCACCCAACTTACCTGTCTAACACCCGACACTAACTTCTACTGTTAACACAGATTTTGACATTTTTCGTAGTCGTTCCGTTCACTGAATTAGTTCCCTTTCCGATTTTATTAGAGTCCTTGGTCGAGTCAGGAGGTTTTTTCATTGCAATACCAAAAAATACACGTCCTCAATGAGTCTCTGATGGAAAAAAGAGATAGAAATTCGAAATTGCCTCGTCTTTAAAACTGGAAAAGAACATTTTGAGGTTAGGGAGCAGCTGAGTGTCCCAAAATTCACGCAAGAAGTAACTTATTCCATTCAACGAATTCTCTTCGTTCTGAGTGGTCAGTAGACTTCCGTTCTTGAGTCAGTTGAACTTCGCAAGCATGAAGATGCAAATCTTTCTTGAAAGAGCCGAATTGATGTTTCTCAGCAACGGCCTGAATGTCGAAAGTCACTAAATAATCCAGTCTCCCTGAATGTTTTCATTCATCTCTTCACAGTTGACAAAAAATCACTTTTCCGACCTTATTTTGTGCGAACACTGCGAATTGTAGCTGCCAAACCTTCATTATTTTCTCTCAACATAGAAAACGCGTTGTTCTTTAGTGTAGATCTCCATTTTTAATGATCCTGAACTGTCACGCTGCCTGTTTTCCGTTGGCAACACTTTACCGCACAATTGGCGCCAAATTCAAAACTTACGTGAATTTTGGGGCACCCGCTAAGCAGCATCTAAAACTACGTTTTCAAATTGTGCAAAATTAAAAAGCTAGGAGCATTTACCATTAAATACTTTAAACTTTAGGATTTGACTTTACACAATTCTGGTTCTTTCTTGAAAATCGTCGAAAACCCCCCCTTTCATCGACTCATTGAGTAACTCGGAAGGAATTTTGTGAAAACCTCTCCTGACCCATCCCTCTTGATTTTTTGACATTTATCACGTTATCTCCGAAATTGAATGACGTTTTTCTTGGATTGTAAATACTTTTATCTTTTCCTCCTTTAGAGTAAACAGCATTAAAGCATGTGGAAACATAGAAACAACTAGCCGTAGTTCTTTCCCACTACTTGAAAATTTTTCTTCTAGGAACTGTCTTTCTTTCGATAGTTAGTTGGTTATAGTAGAGCGGCTACGATTAAAAAATTTCGGTAGAGTACCACCAAGGGCCTGCAACTCGGCACTGTTCAGTTTTCTACGGTTTTTTGTACCTCCATTGACAATTTTGAATCATAACCAAGAATACAAAAAGCGTCGGTGTTACTTTCTGCCTTTCTTCTGTCATCATCGACACGAAATTAATTAAATTAGACGAGTGGCGAGAACTACCCAGTTGCGGGACCCTTGACTGTAGGTTATTTTCCGCATAACGAAAAAAGGAACATGTAAATAAATCCAACCTTCCACCAGAACAGACACAAAACAACTTTTAATTTAAATACACCCGAGTTTACTTTGTAAATATATCTAGTACGTTTCTCTTTTATTTTGCTCAACACTCACATTTACATACATATTCGGTACGTGACCTTTCTTGACGAGATAGGCATCGCCATAAGCAGGCCTAGGCGACCCGAGCGCCGCCTAATTGTTGCCACGTGTGCTTTGGCAATCTTCCCACACTTGTTTCATTCTCTGCCTTCCTTCTACCGTAAATTCCACTTAATTTGCGCACAATCTCAGCTACACACTCTCCGTAGTTCTACAACACGTCAATTGAAATAAATAAAATAATATACGATTAGATCTGTCGCATAAACGATCCGTATTCGTCAGGAAAGGTCCCGCGCCAAGTACCTCCATACAAACATGCTATACCACTAGTAGCTGTGCATAATAATTTAGAATAGAGCATTGGGTAGTTGGTAACTTTGTTTTGTTGGTTGTGGCGGACTTGTTCGCGTCACCCTACCTCACTTCACTTCACCTTGATGCAACTAGAATGTGGTAAGAACACTGCAGCCTGCATCAACCAACCACTACATACCATTTTTTGCTTTGGGCGTAGCCTCACGTCTCGCGGCAACGCCTCCACTCCATAAAATCTTTGTTTGCTGGCGGAATCTTCGGATTATCGCGTACTTTTTCATCCTAGGCCTTTTTGTTCGATAACAATTATGTGTAGTGGGCGGTGGACTGTGACGTAGCGGACCGGCGTTACTCCGACACAAAATCGAAATGTGAGGTTATGTCAGAATGTGTAAAATGTGGCTTCATGCATGACTTTTCTGATTTGTTAAAACATGTCACTACATATGATTTAAAAATACAGTTTCTTCACCACCTCATCACGTCACCCACCACACTTATAATAAGGCTTCCAAAGGTGGGCACACAATTTACGGATATGACGTGGTTTAACAACACGCGAAATCCAAAAATGATCAACCATCATCCCTTACGCGTATATAGGGTGTCCCATTTTAATCGATCACTCCGTACGGTAATGACCTTGGTTTTGACTCAGAGCGATCAGTCTTACCAAAATCAAGTATACGTTTTTGAACGTAATTTCCTGCTCTTTTCATTTCTGGATAACACAAATGGAGTTTTTATTTGAAATTCTGAGGTTGTCCTCCGAATGATCTCTGAGTTTGACCTCTGGGTCAAAACCAAGGTCATTATCGTACAGCCCCCTCAAAACCTTACAACTTTGTTGTGGAAATTTTTCAGTGGCTCATCCCGCAAAGTTGTCCGGGCGATGGATTAAAATGGGACGCCCTGTATATGAAATCACTTTGTTTGGTTGTGTATGTCTTCCCTGGATCTTACTGAATCTATTGTGTGCACCAACCTTTATTTGTCTTACTTTCTCAGTGACTAAATACCAAAACAACAAAATATTTCAATTTGTTTCTCACACTATACAAATATCAATCCGATCAGAATACTTTGGAACACTTAGGGCTATGCCTAAGTCTCAAATGTTCTAATTTTCACCGTACTGTTTTAACAACAGTTTTTACTTAAATTTCACCGAACTGTCGCTGTTTAAATGTACCGGCGATTTTGCAGAAAAAAAAAACAGTGTATAGGTATTTAGGATTTCTTTTTCAGCAAATATTGCGCTGCGGCTGAATTAAAAAAAATTACCATCAACGCTTCATTCACATTGCTTTTTCAGGCCTTTGATTCAAGTTTCATCTTCTCTGGCTTTTTGATTGTCCAGAAAAAAAATGAATTTTTTGCTAAAAACGGGTAGAAATTTTCTGTATTAAATACAGTGTGTGGATTAAAAAAAGTCTACAATTTATTGTTCTTATCTGTTTCGAACATAGAAAGCATGCTTTGCCTGAAGATGGATCCATGTTGTTTTGTATTTTTACGTTTTCTAACTGATACTTTTTCATTTATTAGTATTTTTATACTGAAAACGTCCCAAAAATAAACAAAAATCCATATTTTTTTTTTATTTCGACGAAAAAACGTAGCGTAACGTGACACAGCTGATGCACAACACGTGTACACGCGGCAGACTTGTCCTACGGAAAAAATGTAAACTATTGAAACATTTAGTAAATTTCAAGACAATTGTTTTTCAATTTTTAAATAAATAAAATTAAATGAATTTTAGTAATTATGTGTATTAGTAGGTTATTGGATAACGCTCGAGCGTCAGCTGATTGTTCCAATTTTTCTTTTATACGGCGTAAATCTTATATATACATGTACATATGTACAAAAAATTTAGCTAGGGGTTCATATAAATATTGGTCCGCAGATGCTTTGTTTTCATTTAAACTTTTGTAAAAAAATTGCTATTTCGTAAATATCTTAAATACCCTTTACCCAATTTTGTTGTAGTTTGGCAGTGTTATTTGTTATTTAAATGTTACATGTTATCAATAAAAAAATAATTTCCAAAAGAAACTTTTCCCCATGTTTCATATGCAATTAAGTGGATTTTATTTTTTTTTTCCTACAAAAATTAATCAAGATACGAAAAACATTCTAGAGACAAAAAAATTGAATTTTTAGTTGCTTAATTCAAAAGATATATAAAAATTTCAAAAAAGTCAGTGGCGTACTTTTTTTTGTCAAAAATATTCGTTAAAGTACCGCTTGGGACGCCACTGGACTTAATATATCTAATCAAGTTAGGGTTAAATTAGCCCCTTAACACTACAAATAACACTGCCAAATTACAACAAAATTGGGTGAAAGGTGTTTAGATATTTACGAAATAGCCATTTTTTTACAAAAATTGTACACCCTGTATCTTCAAAACGAAGCACCTGGGGACCGATGTTTATATGAACTTTTTATCTTAAAATCACTCAAATAATCGTCTGTTGAATTTATTGTCCATACTTAATTAACACCCTGTGTAGAATTAATATTGTTTTATATTGCCCCCTTAACTGCGAACATCTGTTAATTTTTATCCCACACAAATAAAAAAAACAAAATATTCTTTGAAAAAAAAATCTAAACTTTTGTACACTTGAATATTTTTCGTATCTTTTTTATATTTTTAGTTATTTTCAAAAATATGTTATTTTTTTAAATTAAAAAAAGAGCTTTTCAATCAAAACGTAATATTTTCAAAAATATGTTATTTTTTTAAATTAAAAAAGAGCTTTTCAATCAAAACGTAATTTCAAAAATATGCATTCTAAACCGCTTAAACTTGTACAATATATATTGTTAGCACATAAAAAATGTAAATTGTAGAAGCATTACCTTCAGTTTTAAATCTCGTGAAAAATTCATCAGCTTTTGTACTGATTTTTTTTTCCGAAAAAGCTAATTAACAATTTTATTTTTACCATAACTTTGTTAATTTATATGCTAATGACTTAAAGTCAAGTTCATTTTAAAGCTATTTTAAAGTACTTTAATAAATGTTCTGTGCATTTTTTCTGAAAAAGAAAAAAGAAAAGAAAAACTACTGAAAAACATATTTTTTTAGTAAAAAATGTACATTTTCAATCACCAATAACTCAAAAAATATTGACTTATTGAAAAATTTTCATATGATACATTTTGCTTAAAATTACGTACATTTGTATGTAAATATTTATTTATACTGAATACTATTTGAATTTATAGATATATTATTATTTGCCTTTAATATGAAGTAAAAAACAAATGAAGGACTAACATTTTTTCAATAAATCCTAAAAAGGCACATATTATCTGGAAATTGTAACCCTCGATGCTACGATTTCTTTTTTTTGGAAGCAAACTTTTGAAAAATTCTGTTAGTGATGGATTTGGCCAAAAGGCCAAAATCTGATCACGTCATTCTACACCATCCAACAGGCCTTCCTATATCAATGATTTTTTTTTAATTACCTTTGAAACGACAAAGTACTCTATAAATTCCGAGTCACGCTGTTATTGATATTAACGTTGAAAATATTTGGAGATACACACAACCACAATACGGTACAAAAGAGCAACGCCGGTTTTTGTTGTTGTTGTTGTTGTGGGACCCCCATGATGTTTCTTCATAATTTATTAAATATGAGTCAATAAGTCTTTCAATAAAATTTAAAAATTTTGCGGTGTTGTGATCGCGATGATTGATATTGAAATCAACCAACAAGCATAATAATTCGGTAAACAATTCTATAACAGACTTTGGTATTGAGTCACGAGATCGTTTTACAATGAAAATATTTACTTAAAGGTTTTGTTTTTCTTTTTACATTTTCCCAGCAGAATAATTATGAATTGGCTTATATTTTATTTTTGAAAATTTTCGATTTCGACACGGACCCACGCGAATTCCGCGCCGCTCTAAAATCCGTCGTAAATTCTAGGTCGAAGCATAATAGTGAAGAAAGGCGACGGCTCTCAAGTGAAGGAATCGACGGACAGCTCGACGACCTTGGAGGATGACGATATCAAAGGTAAGACATTCGTTTGTTTATTCGCAATAGCCAACCTTGCACCCGAGTTGTATGTTATCAGCACCGTATATTTGCTGCGAAAATCATCACGGACAAAACAGAATTCAGCAGTTTTTGCAGCAAGTATTTCAAACAGACCCCATGTGTATATAGAAGATATCATTCATCCCACATACCACTGGTTTATTTTTTATTTTTTTGAGAAAAAGTGACACAGTTCACGATAAATACTGTTCTGATGCTTTGGTGCACCCGTATGACCGCTTTTCATCTGTTACAGGGTGTTACAGGGATAATATTCATCGAAACGGCGACAGGGGCCAGTTTATATGTAAATAATGCGTGTGCTTTGGCTACGACTGTTGCGATGTTTTTGGTTTTGCGCTTGGCATACGAACAAAAAAACAATAAGAGATGTATAATCTTGTGTGTCGCATTACAACGTTATATGTTACGTGACCAACTAACTCTTCACTCTGCGCGGTCAGTAGGCTTCGGTTTTTGAATCAATTGAACTTTGTAAGCGCGAAGACGCAAATATTTCGTGAGAATACACAGTAGAGAGCTTCTAGAACTGTCCTGTCATTGGCCACGGTGCCGAATTGACGTTCGTCGACTCTCAGCAACACTCTCTCGAACTGCTTCGATGTTTTGTGTTGAAGAACGGAGGAGTGTTTAAGATCACTAATTGATCCAGTCTCCAGGAATTTTTCACTTAATCTCTTCATTGTTGATGGAGTTAATCGCTATTCCGACCATATTTTGTACGAAAACTGCGAATTGTAGCTGCTAAACCTTCAAAATTTTTTAAATATTGCTTAACAATGAAACCGCGTTGTTCTTTCGTGTAGTTCTCCATTTTTAATAACCTTGAACTGTCAGATGTCACACTGTCTTTTATTTTCGTATGTTTCGTGAATTTTGGGACACCCAATAATTAATTTGAGCATCCTTGAGCTGGTATTCAGTTAAACTGATCATATGCAACCATCTGTGCACTCGTGTGCGGATATTTAAACATTTCTATTTAAGTTTCTTATATAGACCAGGAGAATAAGCTGGAAAATGACCATTTCGCGACTTTTTGTTTCGACAAGCTGAATTTACCACTATAGATGCTAAATATTATGTACGATAACATGTTAGTTTCCACAGACATAAAAATGGGGGGAAGATTGTTTACAGGCTTGGTATAATTTTTACGTAAATTCACGTTTTTCGCTTATAACCTTCTTCCGTTCATTTCCAGCTTATGAAAAGAGTTTTAAGTTAAAAAAAAATCGTCAAGATTCGTTGAAAAACAACGGAGTTAGAGACTGTCGAATAAATTATTTTCAAGCGAATTTCGCTTATTTAACGGCATTTTCTTCATTTACAAAATGTTAAAATTGCAGTTCTTAATGTTTATAACAAATTGCTCTGTGATTTAAAAAAAAAATTGCTAACTCCGGACCTATTGGTCGTAGAAGCTTGTTTTTTTTTTCAATATGCAGGTTTTTTTACGAGCTTTCTAATGGTCTATATAACTTCTTTCAAAAGTTAAAAACCGCGGAGTTATTTTATTTGTTTATGTATTAGGGAAAAAAAGTGCCTTTCATTTGTTCCCAATTATGTACAACTAAATTTGAAAAAAAAATATTTTTTTAACTAGAGGATACTTGGTGTCCCTTCGAAGAAAATGAGCCCAAAAATAATGTTATAGTCATAACCCTACCCCCGGAATAGTTATTTGAAATTGGGCTTTTTTTGCAAAAATTGTATAAATAAATGGAATTTTCCAAAAGCTATTCGTCCGCTCGAGCCCATATTTTGCACATCTCTTAAGGATATAAAAACTCTCATTTTGGGAAAGTTTGATAAGATTTGATTAATTATTTAAAAAGTTATTAACAATTAAAGAAAAAGCACTTTTTCCGTTTAATTTTGCAGTAACTTTTTTGTTTATAAAGCAATTTTAACGTATAAAGTCTCATTTTAAAGATGAGTTTCTCTAGATCAAATCGTACGTTGAACTTTTTTGCTAAGATTAATTACAATAACGCGTATAACAAAAAATAACGAATTTTTGATATATTTGTTGATAAAAAACAGTGACGCTATACTATACTTATTTCATGGTCCATTTGATGAGACGCCTCTTGTATTATCATTCCCAAGACTTCCCAACAATAAAATAACGCCCAGCAATTAATAAATTTCAAAACGTTACCTTTCCCGGTCTACTATCGCACGTAAACCACCCGCCCTCGGCCCGCTTCGATGAATATTACCCGCAGCACCCCCCTCTCCACCGCCATCGTCATGTAGCAGTCCATTGCACAGTATTTACTTGGGGGCGCACTTGCAAATCTTTGAAGTATATCAAATAGCAATCGACTGAACCACGCGACAGTAGATCCTAAGTTAACTAACAATAAGACTAATCCTGTGTTTATTGGCAAACTGGATAATTTGTTTATTTTCTGGGCGACGCTCAGAAGATAAGAAAGGCGGAGTCGACAGAAGCTCGACAGTTATCGCCAAAGAACCAGAAGGTAAAAACAAACAGAATCCATTTTATACTACTCTAATATAACTCGCCAGGGCAGGACTGGCGCCTTTGCCGAATTTTCCCGCGCCGCCGTGTTGTCCGGCCCAATAACGATAAGACATAGCTAGATCAGTCGGTATAGTAATTCACTATGTCGACTGTAGAGTTCAGTTGTCAACTAAAAGGGTCGATAATTGTGTTTCTATTGCATTTCTTTATATCGAAGGTATTTTACGTTAAAAACGATTAAATTAAAGACCAAATATGCTTTGTGCTGAAGAAAATGAATTCTATTTTCGGCCATACCCTAGTCGGCCACCTAAAACTGGAATTGTTCGCATAGGCCCAGTCCAACCCTGTTCACTGCATCACAAGTAATTGTTTATGTCGCTTTTTAATTCACACATATTAACGCCTGGGCTGGTCGCTCGTTTAAATAACACCGAAATGAATGAATTAAATTAATAAAAACATGCTTGTAAATAACAAACTTAATATTATCACGTAATAACTCATAAAGGGGGCTGCCAAAACCAGTCGTGCAGTTGTGGTATAATAATTTCGTTTCAAGGCGAATTCGGATACTAATTTAGATCGAGTTAGTATATACAGGGTGTAATATATACAAAAATTGTGAAAATTCGTTACGAAAAAAGAACGGACCAATCAGCGTAAAATTCACACCACATTGTCACCTGTGGATATACACTGGTCGTTCTTGAATGACCCGAGGATTATTTCTACCCCAAATTCGACAGTTTTGCTTGTTCACATACCTCGTCGCTAAAAATGATTTCACAGTCTCAGCTACATACTCTCCGGACTTGTAATGAATTTTCACATTCTTCACTCGCTCATCCGTCATATAGTGCTCCTTTGTCTAGCACTAGCCGCAATGTGTTTGCTACAACGTATGTCCTTGCATAATGCTGCTAACTCTTCGGATTGAAAATGGCGCACAGTTCAAATTATTGTGTTCATCCCTGTAGAAATGAATTTCTCTTTAATTAATATTAATTTAATTCTATCTAATCTGTATTTGTCAAAAGTATCCCATTCCCATTACTGGTAGTAATCCGATACTCAATAATAAATATTACATTATTTGTTTCTGTTGAAAACCTACACCACAAATTCCATTTCCCACTAACGGATAATTATTATCTCATGCTACATAATCTGGTTTGCAGGCTCCCGATGCTAAATTTAAATTTTAAATTCATCTAACAAACGACTAAACGTATGTGGCGAGCGCATAAATTATTATTCTGATGCAGTCACTGTTGAAACAAAATTTTTTGAAGTATATTAAGCATTACTAGTATATTTTTAATTTGTTAATTTTCATATCCAGGCTTCTTTTATTGCCACGATCTAGATGGCGGCGTGTACTTTCGCGCAAGGCCGGAGGCTGTCTTGAAAATGACTGTAAAATGTGACATTTCATATTTAGTCGGCATATTAAACTAATGCAAAAAATTAAAGGGTCAAAAGAATTTCCGAAATTTTTCCGTGATTTTTGACAGACTGTATTTAGGTGGGAAATGGTTGGATCGGGAATTTAAAAAAAGCATTTTGAAGCTCTTAAGATTCTAGTTTTTAGATCTTTCGGTCGAAATATTTTAGGTTATCATGCAATTCTAAAAAATAGCGCGACATTTTGCAAATTTTTTTTTTCCGAGTCCACGGACTTGGAAAATTTTCGGAAATTCTTTTCACCCTTTAAATTTTTGCATTGGTGTATCCATGGTCCATCCCTATTTATTTTTTTCGAATTGTCATTGGAGGTAGAACAAATTAACAATCAACCGACGATTATTTAAGCGATACTGAAAGTCATTTTCTCGACTTCCTTTTAAATAGCATAATTTACACATATATTTACTTACATACAGACATACCAGCTTATACTAATTGCTTGAATTTTGGAGATACCTTTTGAATAAGATAGCACAAAGGTTTGAAATTTGATTTTTTCTATAATGTTTTTCGTGCGTCATTGGATTTTGAAGCGCATGTTGCACGTTTCTCAAGTCGGATTGTTTATAGCCTAACTGCATAAATATTTTCTGTCCATATCGGATTTAATTGCAAAAAATCATTATAGAATTTTGTAAAAAAAACTTTTAAACTTTCTGTTCGTTAAAATATTAAATTTAAAAGTTATTGTTCTCTCAGTGTAACTAACCGAGGTCCCTTAACGTCAGTTGGGGTTTCGAATATCGTGAATACTAGAACATAATCGCTGTATTTGTGTTCGTCTGACAAACAGATGCAGAATGAGTACAATTCAAGGGATCTAGCGACGATTAACCGCGAAAATATTTATGCAGTGGAATCTCTATGCAAGCTGCGACGCCAGTCGTTGGTGTAATCTTATTTATTATATTTTTAACCTCGGCGGTGCATCTTGAAACGACCCTGCTCGTTGTATGTATGTGTGGATGGACCACGTGTTGCATGCCCTGTTTTAAAAATACGCACGATCTACGTTTTTCAATGTACACCGTTTGAGAGTTGTGTAAGAATACTACTTTTTAAGGCGTATATATTGACTTTTTACGTTCAGCATGTGAAATTTTTGAATTTTCTTTGTTGCTAACGCAATTAGTTTAGCTTTAGTCACTCGAAACGTGCTTTTAACGTTTTCCTTTAAATAGGGAACCATGGATTCTTGATAAGGCAGTTAACTTAGGTGTTGCCAAATCTACTGAAATTCCTGGACATCCCAAAATGAGAATAAGTATCATATTTTCATTCAAATTTGATGCAGCTTTATTTTTGGCTGTCCATAAATGTATTTTCAGCGTTTTCTTTATATTTTGGGATTTTCCCATACTACCTTTTACCATAACGTTAAAACCAATGATAATTACTAACACACGCTCATGACAACTTATTTTGGCCCTGTCTCATTTAGTTTGGAGGTAGACATAACCTTACATTACTGCAACTCTACATATAGTGGCGAAATAAAGGCGAAAATAAAAGTCCCGTGCATAGTCCAGTCGGTATCTGTTTCGGATTTACATTTTCTTGCGCTAACAATAATTATACACAACTTTTTCAGCGGGCGCATATCGCAATTATCATTCTACATGATATTTAGAACTTTTTTTCACAATTTGAAACGCAGAATCCTACCAAATACCAAAGAATATTAATAATAAAGCCATACCACCCGAAAATCGTCAGTTCCCAAGAAATCCACAGCGATCTGGCAACGCCCCCTCGCACCGTCGATATCCATTATTCTAATTATTTTTTCAGGCACTATTTCGAGTGCACAGCACACTATAAATAGTCCACTTAAGCTTTATTTTGCTTAAATTCGCCATCGATTAGGCTCATCAGTTAATTTTGGCTCACTGACAAGCATATCTTGATCAGCGGCGCGCGTTGCCGCTGCTCCTGTTAGTTCCTTCGCATCGTGTGGCGCGGCCGAGCTATTCCCTTCGCGGGCGCGTGTTTTTCGTGTAGCGTTTGTTTCGTACATGCATTTGCCCGTCGCCGATATATCAATTCGATCGAGGTGTGCCGCGGGACGCCAACGTCAAAATTGGTTGTTTCGGTGACATAATGTCGGCCCTGGCGGCGGTCTTGGGAGCTACGAAGAGGAGAGAGAGTACGTATGGTTGTCTAATTTTAAGTCTGTTTACGTCGCGGCAAAACAATCGCCGTTAGTTGGGCGCGACGTTTTTGCCCGTAACGATAACACGGGCAACACACTGTATATACGTAGAAGAATATTCCTTAAATTATCTATTTTTAAACAGGGGACCGGTGGCCACTGGCCAGAAGCATGCCTTGTATTGTAGTTATTGACGAATAATGTCCCCTACTTTTTGTGGTTTTTAATACGCCACTGTCTAGAGGTGCTGGGTAAAATAAAATACCCCACCCCTAGTTTGTTATTTATTAAATTATTATTGACACATTCATTCAGAAGAAAACAGTGGATAAATATATTTTAGGTTAGGTACAAAAAGAAAGACGACCATTTCTCGATGTATCAGTTCCCAGCATAGATGTTTCTTTCGTGTCATATGCGCGGGTGTTATTATATCCACATTTTGTTAACAAAAAACCGATAACTAGGGTCCTTATCTCAGAGGTTTTTTAATATACATATTTCACACCAATTACATCAAATAGTGCTTTAAAAAATATGAATTTAAATAAAAAAGTGTCCTACCAGACAAATTTAGGCTTTTATTATGTATTTTTTACTTAATTTTAAGCCTATAAAATTTGAGTTAGCCCCGATTTTTGAAAAAAAAAAAAAACCTAATTCGCTAGGACTATTACGCGAATATATTAATATAGATCCGAATTCAATCTTTCGATGTCCAAATGTATGTCGTTACAGGAATTTTTCTGACATAATTATATCCCTTTTCGTTATTTTTTCGATGCAGATTTTTAGCGTTTTATGGCTCTGTTTATTGATTACGTTTGCTGCGAGAACAGATCACGATCATAAATACATTTGTTATAAAATCGAACGGATAAAAAGCAGTATCATACGTTGCGGTAGTCGTACAAATAAACTTGAAGGAGTTTAAAGTTTTCTAACTCGTGCAAAGTTATCATTATAAACTTATATTTGATGTAATTGTTATATCTGGCGACGTCTCAGACGACAACGTACGATAAAATGAAGAAAAGTAAATATCGCTGCTCGTGAGTTGTAGTTTATTAGTTTTAAAGTTTGACCCTGCTCATTTTTGGTCAGATCATTACAGTCTACGTACATTTGACTTTAAGGAATCGTTTAAAGCTTTAAGTACGTCGTTAATGCTAGTCCTTATCATTTTCCATCTAATTGGAGTGTTTATAATAGAGGATAATTGTTTAAACTTACCTAATTAGAAATATCCTAACGATTTGACAGAACATGTGGCTCAATAATAGAACTACGTCGAGAACTAGAAGCAGCTTTCCATTTACATGATCTGTGTGATTTTATTTTGTTAATGATAACACTACATAACTTAATATATT